TTGGTAGATTGCCATGGCATCACAGCTCACAGCAACCTCAAACTCTTGGGCTTAAGCAATTCTCTTGCCTCAGCCTCGCAAGTAGCTGAGCCTACAGGCACCCACCACAACGCCCACCTATTTTTGGTTGCAGTTGTCATTGTTCTTTAGCCCGAGCTGGGTTCAAACCCGCTACCCTTGGTGTATGTGGCTGGCACTGTAACCACAGTGCTACAGGCACCAAGCCTATGCTATTCTGTCTTAAACAACCTTACTTCACCTGGCTCTCTCACACCCTTTTCAAAAACACACTGCCGGGAAACACCTGTGGCTCAAAGGAGTAGGTGCTGGCCCCATAAGCTGGAGGTGGGGTCTTCCTGTACACAGAGCTGATTTCCCTTCATAACTTCCATGCTTCATGTACATGGCCCAGGAGTGCCCTGTGCATACCATCAGCCTCTCACTCACCACTAAATTATGCCTCTGGCTTGGCAATCTTCCCTCAAAGTGCGGCAAAGCTGTTTTTCATGCTTTGGATATAACAAGTCCTCAATAGAAGTTTACTAACTAAATGAATGAATGCTGGTAGTTAAGACATCATAACATACCAGATTTTGTCAGACTGTTAGACTCTCCTTCTTCTAACTGAACATCTGAAAAGGAAGCTTCTGAAGGTCCCTTCTTCTGTTCATCTTTTAAACTCTGTGCAATTTGCTGCATAGAGAAATCAGAAGGAACATTATAGTTTTCAGCAGTGTTTGGCAATATAAACATGTTCTTTCTACTATTGTAAGTTTCAAAAAATGCTAATTAGTAAACTAAATTAGGACTAATTAAGAGAACCATGTCAAAACAATTCATGGAAATGAAAACATTAAATTAGTAAGAGGTATCCCTACTCTCACAAACAAAAACACAGCCTTTTTACCTCATTTCACAATGGGGTCAAATATTCAAGGCTCATAAAAGAATCATATTTTTCAACTCAAAGTGTAGAAACAGAGTATTCAAATTTAATATTGGATATATTCTGTCAGAAATGCCTTTGTTCATTGGCACTGGCCAATCCAAATAACAGGCTTTCTCTTTATGTGAAAATTGGTGCAGTATGCTACTGTGAAACATTTTTTTTCCTCAGACAGAATCTCACTCTGTTGTCCCATGCTAGAGTACAATGGCGCAGCCTACCTCCAGCAATCTCAAACTCTTAGGTTCAAGTGATCCTCCTGCCTCAGCATCCCAAGTAGCTGGAAGCCCGCCACAACACCTAGTTAATTTTTTCTATTTTTAGTAGAGGCAGGGCCTCACTCTTGCTTAGGCTGGTCTCGTAAGTTCAAAGGATTCTCCCACCTTGGCCTCCCAGAATGCTGGGATTAGAGGGACAGAGCCTGGCTAGAAACAGTTTTGTTTTGTTTTTTTAAAATCAGTATGGACTCACTGTCTAAAGAATATCATCCAATACACACAGGACACCAATGACAAAATCTGCAATGAAAATCCCATAATTTACATTGGTTATATAGGTGGAAATATACAGAAATGAGGACCTAATTAATACCTAGCTACTGCGAAAAAGAAGGGCTAGAGAACTAGTTAGAAGAGAAGACCCTTTCTCACTTGGGCTAGTCTGCTCATTCTGCATGTAGGAATCAGAAAGTACAACTAATCCCTGAATAGCACACATATGTCATAGCCAGACCACTTTTACATCTAGCTCCTCAACAAAAGAGAAACGGTATTATTTACTACAAGTGGTTACCTTTCATAAACCAAAAGTTCTACCACACAGGGAAGCATGCAGGATACTAGCCATATAACTATATGCTAAATGAATCACTAAATTACCCTGGGAGGGGGGCACATAGTAAACTTTATAATCTAACATCCTATCAGACAAAACTATTAAAACAGGCATATTATCAATAATAGAGAAACCTGACATTCATAATGAAGGCCAGGAGGGAAGGGGCCGGGAGGGGAGGGAAAGGAGAGAGCACAAGTCTGAGGTCTGCCTGAGAAACTTTGTATCTCCCTGTATCTCACTACACTCCTCTGCGCAACCATTTAGGGTAAGTAACTTGCAAATGGACTAACCATCTGCTCCCTGTTGTTACTAGCAATACCCAGACACAGAAAGATAATTCCTGCTATAAGCCTTGAGATTAAAAACTAGCTCAAAAACAAACAGCCCCTTCGCATATTGTAAAAAATCAGTAATATACCAATAATTAATATAACTAGCTAAAATGTAATAAATGTAAAGAGAAGTCAGAGGAAGGGACAAGGAGTTTAGAAGACTATCCCTTTTTTCTTTTTTTAGAGACAGAGTTTCACTTTGTGCCCTCGGTAGAGTGCCATGGAATAGATTTGAATTGGAGGTTTCAGTATGAACTGATATTTTAAAATGTCTATCACCTAGTTCTAGCCTTTAAAAGGTGCTAGAGGGTAGCGCCTGTAGCTCAAAGAGTAGGTTTCCAGCCCCATATACCAGGGGGTGGTGGGTTCAAGCCCAGGCCCAGCCAAAACTGGAAAAAAAAAAAAAAAGGTGTTAGAAGTAATCTCTAGAAATGAACACACGTGACATTCAGATCTTGTTTTGTAAATACCACCCTGCTCCCCTTTGAAAGGAACCAGGGGTTCTTAGAGAAATAGCTGACCCTAGGTTTGAGGCAAGGAATAGATACGAAAATTGAGTGCCTGGATCATCTTGTGCAAGGGAACAAGTAAGTCTAGATTAACCAAGAAAACAGAGAGAAGACTCAAATTACTAAGATCAAATGGAATTGCAAGGGGCCCAGAACAATCTTGAAAAAGAACAAAACAGGAGGACTCTCACTTTTCAATTTCAAAATTTATTACAAAACAACAATAATAAAGATAGACTGGTAATAGCACAAGGATAAGACATAAAGATCCATGGAATAAACTTGAGAGTATAAAAAAAAAACCTAGACCTCTAAGCCAACTGATTTTCAACAAAGGGGCCAGCACCATTCAATGGAAAAAGAATACCCTTTTCAACAAATGATGCTAGGAAGAATGGACAGCAGCCACATGCAAAAGAATAAAATTGGATCTCTACCTCACACTCTATACATATACAAAAATTAACTCAAAACAGAGAAAAGACCTAAATGCAAAAGCTAAAACTATAAAACTCTTAGAAGAAAACATAGGGGTAAACCATTATTACCTTGGATCTGGCGAAGACTTCTTAGTATAACACCAAAAGCATGACTGACAGAAGAAAAAAATAGATAAGGTAGCCGTTACCAAAACTCAAAACTTGTGCTTCAAAGGATACCAGCAAGAAAATGAAAATACATTCCACAGAATGGGAATAGTATTTATAAGTTATATATCTGACAAGAGACTTGTATCCAGAATATATGAAGAACTCTTACAACTCTGTAATAAAAAGACAATCTAATTTTTAAAATGAGCAAGAGATCGGCTCGGCTCCTATAGCTCAACCGGCTAAGGCGCCAGCCATGTACACCTAGGGTGGCAGGTTTGAATCC